GGCGGGCGGCGTAGCGTTAAAATTACCACTACCACCACCACCAACAACACCACCAACACCAACACCAACACCAACACCAACACCAACACCAACACCAACACCAGCAGCACCACCAACACCACCACGACCACTAACAAAAAGGTAGCTGTTGCGTCTGCCGCCGCAGAGGGCGTGCCGTTGTTTTTACGGTCCAGAGGCCGAAAACCTCATGTTTTGTCTGGATTTCGTTTTCGTTTTTGTGTGTGTGTGTGTGTGTGTGTGTGTGCGCGCGCGCGCGCGCGGGTGTGGGTGGGTGTGTGTGTGTGTGTGTGTGTGTGTGTGTGTGTGTGTGTGTGTGTGTGTTTTTCCGATAGTGTGGCAAATACCGTGGTTTTCGTTATTTGGCTGCTTAAGTTTTAAGTCATGCTTTGTTTGGAAAGCCCACAAAACGTGTGACTTTTCTGGTGGGAGCGTCTGGCAAGCAACAGGAAAAACAGCAGCTCATCATGGTTATCATCATCGCCATCGTTATCCTCTGCATGAACAAACAACAACATCATCATAATTATCATCATACTTACCAACATCATCGTAATCAGGAGCATCAACATCATGATTATCAGCATCATCATCAACATCATCATCCTCACCATCGTCATCACGGTCAAGACAGTCTGTTTTGGGAATACAGCTCGGAATGTGGAGCCAGCGAGGCTCTTGGTACAACCAACGAAAACCACGGTAAACCACCCCTGCACGGAGCATAAAGCAAACACTAGATGAAAGCCGCATTGGCATGGACGTTATCACCCCCCTCCCACCCTTGCACGGAAGCAAAACACAGACGCAGCAAGTCCTAGGAAGAAACAAGCCGACTTGCAAGAAAAAAAAGGAACGGAGAAGCAGCGGATGACTGCAAATACCCATGACCTTAATTCTTGTAAGGCCCGGGAATGGCGTCCTGGTTTACGCTAACGGCCCCGAGAAGTGCGTAACACCAGGCTTCCCGGGGCGAGTCTTCAACAACAATCTCCTCCAAGCCTTCTACTAAGGCGAGTAAGCTTTTCCCCTTTGTGCTGAAATCCGCTTCAGCGCTGAGCTGTGCCTCGAGCTGGCACCACAGGTTCTGCTTAACCTGGTGGCTTGCAGTCTTCTCTGCACCGTGGTCGTGGCCTGCCTGACTAACCGTATCTTGGGTCACACAGCCCGTGAAACAGGCGGGACCAAAGAGGGGTTCAAGGCGGGACCTGCCCAGCTGCTTACCTGGCAGCTGGAGGCGGCCCCTCCGTTTCCGTGGCCTTTCAAGGCTCGTCTGGCAAACTTAAGGGTAGAGCGTCGTCGCCAGGGCAACCCTTCGAGCTTGGCCGGGCGGAGTCGGACGGAGAGCCCTTCTGCTCTTGATTTGTTTTGGCCGCAGCTGGGGTAAACTGGCGCCTCCTCCACCATGTGCTGGTAGAAGTGTTTAGGCCCACTGGGGGCCCAGGCTTGAGGGCGGTTTGCAGGCAGCAAGGGCTTGCACGCCTGTTGCCAGTGGCTGGAGGATATCTTCTCCCGGTTGGCGGACCATTGGCCACCACCCGGTCTGGGGACTGTGGCTCATAGTTCCAAGAACGGGACCCCAATACCACGCAATACTGGGGTCCCACAACCTCTCTGCGCGCTCCCAAAACTGCGTTTTTACTGTCGGCTGCCCTGCCTTTTCCCTTCTCGCCCGGCGTTTCTTAGGGCGGTGAGCGGCTCCTCTCCTGGCTACGCCTTTCGCCCTTGCATGCTCGTCGGTGACTCCTACACTTTTCAGGGCCTCCAACAGCTCCTCGGGCAGTGGTGCTTGGAGTTCCTGTTGCAGGTCTGCCACTTTTGCGTTGCTGCTCCTCCTCTTCTTTGTTGAGACGTTTCATCTCTTCGAGGCAGTCTGTGTACTCTTGTTTTTGTCTGTCAGCTTGTGCTTTAGCGCTGCTTTGGCCGCGATCAAGTCGGGCTCCCACCTTGAAGTTCCTGCTTGCTGCTTGACAAGGCCCACCTTTTCAAGGAAGCCTTGCTTCGCTGGGTCTGCAGCTTCCCACAGTTGCCTCGCAGCGTCGAGTGCCTTTTCTGCTTTTGCCGCCGGAGGGTCTTGCATGGTCTTGCCCCTTGCCCTCTTTTACGCGGCGGGAGACCTGGTGGCTGCGGGGTGCTGCTGCGAGGGCAGCTCTAGTGCGGAAAGGGAGGTGAGGCCCTCCTGCCTGCTCAGCGCTCCACGCGTTTCAGGCCTTCTGTTCGTCTCTCTGGCGATTCTCTGGTCGGTTCTTTCGTGAGGGCTTTGGCCTGGCGACTTCTGCGAACGTCCAGCACTGTGTGGGCCCTGAGCTGGGCATTCTCCACTCTTGTCCACACTGTTTGCAGCACTGCTCGCCTTGAGCGACCCTGTGGCAGTAGATCCATGCCCCGCATGGACACACCAAATAGGGCTCGCTGGCTATGGCCTTGGCCCGGCTACAGTTGTGAGGAGCTACCACGCCCTCTAACTTCCCGCACCCACCTGTAAACCAGGGCTCGACCCACAATGGCCTTGAGCCAACAACAACAACAACAGCAGCAGCAGCAGCAGCAACAGCAACAGCAACAGCAACAGCAACTGCCGCAGTCACAGCGCACAGCTACTGTCACAGTCGGGGTCACAACCACAGCCGCAACAATCACAACCAACCAACAACAACCGCAAGGATTAGCTACAACAAGCAACAAACCAACTACCAGCAGATGACCATCCAGCACCATCTTCATCAACAAAACTACAGTTAGAGCCTAAACTTCGAACCGAAAAAACATGCAAACTACATAGTAAACTACATATCATGGCCCGGCCTAGGAGCGGACTGCCGCCATCGTTCGGCCGCGCCCATGTCGCCTCTCAAAGCAACGCGGATGGGCAAATCCAGGCTTCTGGGTTGGCTTTTTCGTGCTGATTTGACGACTCCGGCATGTATAGCCCAGAAACCCAAAGAGATTCGAGGAGGGGGGGGCCGGGGGGTTGGCATTGGTCATTCTGTTGGGAGCTGGTTGTGGCTGGAGCAGGAAGGATGGAGACCTCTCAAGTCTCTCAAGACGTTCGACAACAACGACCGATTGGCGCCGGCTGCATGTCTGTGCAAGTCTGCGTAGTGGCGTAGTGTCTCCGTCAGGAATACCGATTACTCAGCTGTTGGCTCCCTTGCCTGTTAACTGTCCTTCCGAGCACAAACTCGACGTCCCAACTAGGCAAGAAAAGGGCCAAAATCTAAAACTTCCGGATGCTCCCAGCAACACGCCGCTTCACCCTCCATGTGAAACAGCCCGGGGTGCTCGACCCCAAATCTTGAGCCGGCAAATGCAGTGATGCCGAGCTTGAGCACGTAATTGAAACGCAGCAGAAGCTGGTGGCTGGCGGCCCGAATTCCGAACCTGAAGCCAAATTTCTAGCAGAACCCAGGGATCCTGAGCGAGAATAAACTTTCACAATGCCCCTGTCTTCCGCTCGGAACTTGCAATTCATGGAATCATCATTCAGAAGGCCTAAATTCAGAATTGCAGACGGACCTGCCGGCCTCGATCGTCGAGTGCGTAGCATTCAAGCGTGGCGCCTCTGGCCTATGTCATGACTACACCCGCATGAAGATGACGGCATGGCCGAAGAAGGGGAAGGGGATGAGGATGATGATGATGATGACGAACCGCATGATGGTGGTGGTGGTGGTGGTGGTCATCGTCATCGTCACCATCATCATCATCATCACGGTGAAGATGCTAACGGCATGAGGGTCATCATGATGACAGCGACGGTAGCACGCAACTCAGGGCATGAAAGTTTCTCAGCAAGTGCAACGGGCACCAACGAAAACACCATGCCCTCATGCGAGCGGTATGCAACTCTGTGCGCGGCGGTGTCTCATGCTCAACATTGCAATGCAGCAACAAGACCAGCCTGCTGACCATCATTCGAAAGATGGTGTGGATGGAGTGCTCAGCACCGAACATCAGTGTGGTGCATGACTCGATGTTCAAATCACTTGGATCATGGCGGGTGGCCTCATACTGCTTGCGAAGAGTCAGTGCCGTCGGAGAAATCCGCTAAGAGAGTTCTCACGCCACAGGGGCCACTGTTTAGTCGCACTTCGTCTGGAGCTTCTGCACGCAATGCTGTTGGTGCTGGATGACTTCTGTGATTGTGACGGTTTATTCTTGTCCGCTGTCGGTCATTGAGTATGCAAGCAAGGGCTGCATGCCAACTCACCACTTTCGCCCAGTTTTGCATGTTGACGACAGGATCATTAACGTCTAAACATCACACGTGCACTAACAAAACAGAACGCCGAGTTGGCAAAATGTTTCATTACCAGGAAAGGTGCCACACCTGCCCGGGAGATGGGATCGGGTTGCCTGTCCCGTCATTAGCAACAGAACCTGCCGGTGTCTAGCATGACGAGTACACGGCTTTGTGTGGCTAAGGCCCGGCGCACCCGGACGTAAGCCATGGTAGCAAGCTCATTTGCGCTACTGCCAACATTCTGCATAATGTCGAATCCAAACGAAGCGGGGTTGCAACGTAACAACGAGGAAGCTCTTCGACGCAATTGGGCTGCGAGCGGATGCGGCAGGCCGGGTGCTGCTGTGAATGCCTCCTCGCTGGAATTGCCTCGGTCTTTCCGCGGTATGGATTTCTGGTGTCGAAAATTCAGAATGGCCCGGGGTGTGGGAATGTACAGCTGTGGAAGTTGTTCTAGACTCGGCCCTGCACCTGCGACCGACGTGGGGGAAAATGCGTGGTGCTTCAATGCTCTTGATGCAGAACTGCGAGCAAAGATCACGAGAAAACTGCAGCACTCGCATTGAAGGAGAACGTCAGCTAATGTTTGCACATGCATCCCGAAAGCCCAAAAAAATAGAAGCCTGGACGCTGGAAGTAGCAGTCGCAGTAGCAGTTGCAGAAAAAACAACGGCACCACCACCAGCAGCAGCAGCAGAAGCAGCAGCTGCAGCAGCCGTAGTGATAGCAGCAGCAGTAGCGGCACCAGCAGCAGAAGCACCAGAAGCAGCAGCTGCAGCAGCAGTAGCGGTAGCAGCAGCAGTAGCGGCACCAGCAGCAGCAGTCGCAGCGGCAGGCTCGGTCGCAGTCGCAGTCGCAGTAGCAGTAGCGATAGCAGAAGCAGTAGCAACAGTCGTAGTCGTCGTCGTCGTAGTAGTAGCAGTAGGAGTAGTAGTAGTAGTAGTAGTAGTAGTAGTAGCAGTAGTAGTAGTAGTAGTCGTCGTAGTAGAAGTGGTAGTGGTGGTAGTAGTAGTAGTAGTAGTAGTAGTCGTGGTGGTGGTGGTGGTGGTGGTGGTGGTGGTGGTGGTAGGCGTAGAAGTTCGTAGTAGTAGTAGTAGTAGTAGTAGTAGTAGTAGTAGTAGTGGTAGTGGTAGTGGTAGTGGTAGTCGTAGTGGTAGTCGTAGTGGTGGTGGTAGTAGTAGTAGTAGTAGTAGTCGTGGTGGTAGTGGTGGTGGTAGGCGTAGAAGTTCGTAGTAGTGGCTAGTAGTAGTAGTAGTAGTAGTAGTAGTAGTAGTAGTGTGCCGGCTTTCGAGAACCGTCAGGTGGGGCAAGATGACGCTTCATCTTGGTCATCTTGCTAGGGCAGTAGCCGCTAAAGGGGGCGCAAGTTGACGCTCCATCTTGGTCATCTTGCTCGGGGAGATTTTGGGGGGCAAGATGACTCGCCATCTTGGTCTGGAGAATTTGTTGTTTTTGGGGGATCGTCTTGGTCATTTTGGTCTCTTGACCACTTGCACCACTCGCGCGCACACCAGACCACACGAGCAGCAGAGAGGGTGAGAACCATCGAGCAGCAGAGGAGAGCAGGAAGAGGAAAACCAGCATCATGAGTCGCCAAGACAGCTCCCAGAAAATTGTGTGCGCACACGTGCGGCGGGGCGGAACCATGGAGCAGCACAGGAAATGAGCATCACGAGTCACCAAAACAGGCCCCTAAAAACTGTCTTAGCACTGGTCTGAACCCTAAACCCTGAACCGATGACGCATAACCATAAACCCTAAACCTTCAAACCCTGAAGCCGTAAAACCCTGCACCCGAAACCCGATGAAACCCAAACCCATCAAAAAAACCTTAAGCCTTAAACCCTAAACCAATGCACACGCCGAACGCGCCCCCTGAACCCCAAACCCTAAACCTAATCTCAAACCCCTAAACCTAAACCCTAAGAACATAAACCCATGCGCGCATCGGGCGTGTCCCTTAACACGAAACCCAAAACCGATGCGTGCGTTGGGTGCGCTTAATTAGCGCCGCAAATCCTAAACTTTTAAAGCCTAAACCTTTCAGACCTAAACCCTAAACCCAAACCCTCAACCCTATGTGCCCTACACGTTTTTCAATTCTTTGAGACCCTACAACACAAGCCCAAGCCCTCAACCCTCGGTCACACCGAAGTCATTTACGTACAACCCTAGACAGAAGACCCTGTAGAACCTCTCAAACTTCAAAAATTTTGATTCTCGAGACCTGATCATGAGCCTATACACGGCATTTAAGCCTAAGTCCTAAACCCTGTAGACCCTGAATCCTAAACCCTAAGCCCTAAGTAATCCTACGCTCCCCAGGTCCTGACCGTTCAGGGCACGCTGGCCTTGGCCTACGCAGAGACGGGCCGTCGCAAGGAGGCCGACTGAAGGGATTCATGGTTTAGGATTTGAGTTTAGAATTTAGACTTTAGGGTTTAGGGTTTAGGGTTCAGGGTTTAGGGTTTCGGGTTCAGGGTTCAGGGTTTAGGGTTCAGGGTTTAGGGTTCAGGCTCCGCAGTAAAGCTGCTAGGGCTGC